GGGTGATGGCGTTGACAACTGCTTGACTTAACAATTTCAAGGACAAAAAAAAATGAAGCGCCAAAGGTCCCATTCTTCACCTCCTCAGTCTGAAGAAACGTTGGGATGGAAATGGAGGGAGAGCAGAGGAGGAGGAGGAGGAGGAGGAAGAGGAGGAGGAAGAGGACTACTGTAAGAAAACAGGCTGAACTCATGTTTTGGAGACGTTGGTGCCACATTTTCAGTCATTTATACCAAAATAAAATGAACTTTTGTGACCAAACTGCACCACTGGAGCCTGAACATGAGACGAATAAACTCATCAGAGGACATTAAAGAACCACTCTGAGTAAAATAGTGAAATGTGACTTTTTATTTATCTTTAAACACTTTGTTCTGCATTAAATGTGCACTCATGTCAGAGTGTTTGGGTCAGAACTCACGGTCCGAGCAGTAATCGCCCCTCCAGCCCTCCAGGCAGTGCCGGTTCCCGTCGTCGTCGCAGGTGTAGTGTCCGAAGGTGTCGTTCCGGGGCCGGCAGTAGGCCGAGCACGCCTCTCCGTGGTAGAACTTGTCGCAGACCACGTGGTACGAGTACCGCAGCTCGCTCTGGTTCCCGAAGTCCACGTCCTGAGACCACTCCTCGGCCACGGTGAGCTTCCGGCGCGTCGCCAGGCGGCTGATCAGGTTGTTCTGGTTCTCTGGAGGGATGAGAGGACGGATGAAGGATCTGGGAGAACAGATGTGATCATCTGTCCGCATCACATTCATGTGCGGAGCTCAGTGAGGACCTTTAGAATAAATATAGAAGTTCTAAACTATTTGGGCGTCAGAAGTGAGCGTCCCTGTCCGCATGTGTGAAGCCCAACATGATGCTCAGGGACCAGTGTCCATGTGATGCTGCTGTCGCCGCCTGGCGGTGAAGCAGCAGCACTGCAGCGGTTTACCTGTGGACTCCAGACCTTTAGACTCCGCGTTCCAGGCTTCAATAATCAGCGAGAAAGTGCCCTGAAAAGCAGGAGAAAGGAGCGTTTACGGTCAGGTTCGGCCTTTATTAGAGTGCAACATGCAGAAGTCGCCAGATGTGCTGCAGGTGAATCATCTGACCCAGATCTGTCGAGCAGCTCGTGGACTTTAAGGAAACGTGCGCGCTTTTGTCAGGTTAATGTGAAACGCGTCGTTAGAACCCGACGTGTGATTTCCGCCACTCACCGGCCACTTGAAGTGAAAGGGCACCCTGATGGGCGCGCTCCCGGAGATGGCGTTGGAGTCGAAGATCTCCGTGAGCGCGGTGCCGTACGTGCACGGCGGCTCCGGGTTGATGACGTGCTGCGAGTGCTTGAGGCACACGCGGAAAAAGATCTGGCAGTCCTGCGGCTGGAAGCGACAGATGCCGCGGGAGCTGGTGAACGAGTCGATCTTCAGCTCGAAGACCCCGGAGGAGCGAGCCTGCGGGGGGAGGGAGGGGGACACAGCGGGGCACAGAGGGTCAGACACCGGGAGAGAAGCTGAATGCAAGAAGGTGGTGGAGAAAATGCACAAATACACACAAAAACAGCCAATTTATTCCTACAAAGCGCCGGAAACTGTTTATTTCACAAACATAATTGTGACTCCACAGTCTGCATGTTTTACCTGATGGGTACCCTACAAATGTTAAAAAATAATAAATAAATAAATATAATTTAGGGCCCATATAGAAAAAGCATATAAAGAGACATCATTCTGGTTAAGGTCAAAACAAACAAAAAAACAAACAAAAAAAAAACAAAAAAACGGAGGAGAGTTGGAGCCGTGCGTAAAAGTCGTGCGCTTTTACGCACGCGTCCCCCGTTAACCACCAAATTACAATCAGGCCACCGCGCGTCTGGAGGGAACAGATGAAGCGAGCTCCGGTGCTGTCAGAGCTACTCACCGTCTGCACCGATACGAGCAGCAGGAGACACGGCAGGAACAAACGCGCCATGTCGGAGCGTCCAGGGCACGATGCGCCGCAGGTCCGAATCAGTGCGTAAAGTCCAAACGGATCCAAAAGGAAGCGGAGAGCGACACCTGAAGAAATTAGAAAACAACGCTCCGGGACAAAAGTGAAGTCGTTGTTTGTGTGTCAGCGCTCTGCTAGAGATTAAAAAAAAGAGAAACCAACAGGGAGTAAAACATCCACTCAGCTGCTGAACTCTGGACTGCAGCAGCTGCGGTCACACCTCAGCTTTATACCGGGGAGGAGGAGGAGGGGGGCGGGTAGGAGGACACAGGAGGGGGCGCTGCAAGAAATGTCAACCCTCCTCCTCCTCCAAGGTTCCTGCTGGAGCTCAAACCGAAAGAGACAAATGAGTTGAACGGTGTCAGAGTTCCGAGCGGACGTGTTCAGACACGAAGTCGTGCCGGGACGGTTTATCCCGAAGAATCCGGAGCTTCGCTGGAAACGGGACACTTCTTGCAGCGTGGAGCCGCAGCGAGGCGGGAGGGGGCCACTGAGGGGTACCAGGCGCCCCGCTTTGATTCGCTTTCACCGCCGAGGGGGCAATTACGGCGGGGCAATAGAACAAACTGTCAGGCGACAGGAGCTGCAGCCAAACGCTCCTTTTACTGCCTCCCCACGGTCACACCGAGCGGCCACGGAACACACCTGCGAGCCTAAACTTCAGCAAGATGCCACAATGTCCAGTTCAATCTGCAAAATCTAATAAACGTCTTGTAAGAAACACGCGTTTACCCAAATGACTGGAGCGCTTACAGCTGAAAATGTCCCAAAAAAAGTAAATAAAGCTGCAACAGCTGAAGCATTTCAAGACTTTAAATCCAAATAAAAAGCTACGAGTCGCTGTAGCTTCACAGTTTACAGCTTTAAGCATCGGCACAGACAGAAAACATCCGAAAAACGATCCAAGTGAGGCGTTTTTATCGACTCACGTCTCATGATTTAGTATAAAATCAACATAAAAGCAGAACTGAAACAGCAGCAGCCGCCTCTAAATGACAGAAATACAACAAGAGCCCGCAGATTATCCCAAAGTCTGAACAGAAAGTACAGCAAATATTAGAATTTGTACTAAAAATAGGAAGAAAAAATCTGTAAGTTCACATCAAATGTTGCATTTTATCAGTAAAATTAATATTTGTTTCTATTATAATATATTAATATATTATTNCAGTAAAATTAATATTTGTTTCTATTATAATATATTAATATATTATTCTATTATAACTGAGTGTTTTTTTCATGGTGAACATGTAAATTCATACTACAAGTGTTTTTTTAATGATTTTTTTTGCAGTATAAGTCAGACTGCAGCCTTGGCAGCTTGAGTGATGTTTATTTTATTAATAAGAGCCTTTAGCAGCCACATGTTCACATTAATCAGCCTGCAGAGCGTCAGCTGCTGTTAAATGTTATCGGACTTTTATAGAAGATGTTCAATTTAAGCTGTGAAATGTCAACAAAGGTTTAAAACTGGGACCATTTCAGACCCGAACCCCTCCAGAGTCCCGATCTTTGCTGTAAATTCAGGTTTTTTTTTGCTTCCAGGAATCTTTCATTGAGAAACCAGAGAGCCAATCAGAGAGCAGCTTCTCAGCCAAACACACTTTTTTTTTTCTTTCTTCCTGGTGTCGCGTGCCTTCCCCGGAGGGAGTCACGCCCACCGTATGCCGCACGCACGCGCACATCGCACGTGCACACGCGTGAATACAGCTTTGCCCCGTGTGTGTGTGTGTGTGTGTGTGTGTGTGTAGCAGCTGTATGCTAATGACAGGTTGTGTCGTCGCAGCTCTGACGTCATAAACAGGAGACAGATTTAAAAGTTGCAGGTTGTTGGTTTGTTTTAGGACCAGAAACATGTGGAGCTGAGCTGGTTTGATCACATATCAGCTGTTCTTTCCTCCGACTGACTCGAGTCGTTAAAGGAAGTCGAGTCTCGCTGCAGGTTTCTCGTCTGACTCTGTAGAAAATAAAGTTTTAAAAAAGTTTTCAGTAATTCTTCTTAAACGTTGTTTCTGAGCCTGAAAAAAAAGTTGAAGAAGTCAAAGTTCAGAACAAGATGAAGGATGATTAATATTCTATGAGCTAACAGCTGATCAATGTTTTTACTCTGAGCTGCTCTAAACCAGCTTCAGCTTGAATCCTTCAGCTCTCATTTTACACACTCTCTAGACCATCTTTTCTTACTTTTTTAAAGTTGTTCAGTTTAAATACGGGCGTGAATGTTTTTCTAACGTTGCTCAGATGGTTTCCTTGCGGGACAATAAACTGTGTTCATCAACACTCAGAATGTAAACGTGGAGTTTAAATAAAGTTCAGCTTCGACTGTTTGTCTGCAAAACACACTGAAAACAGAATTTAATGAACTGTTAATAAACTGTTGTTCAAATGACCGCCTGACAAAAACCTCATCACATTATTATTATTATTATTGTTGTTATTGTTGTTGTTGTAAAATGCATTTTAAATAAAGTTTGGATTCAAAGACTCACCGTTTTCTTGCTTTTAATTCATTTTTTAATGAATTTGTCCTCCTGAGTTTCTTGACGTCACGTTTTTGTCTGCAGAACACTTTCTAAATTAAACTCTGACTCGTCAGGCTTCAGTTTTTTTGGGTTTTTTTCCTCTTTTTTAAATTTATTATATTGTCTCTCTGACGTCATCGTGTGATTCTATCGATTAGTTCATATAAACATAAACAAAACTGATCGATGATTGTTGTTGAGACTGAAACGTGTTTACTGTCCACGAGCTCAGGTGGGAGGCTGCAGGTGTGTGTGTGTGTGTGTGTGTGTGCTGGTGACAGAGCCTCGCGACCCTCTATTTTTATTATAATGAGTTGAGCGCGTGCCTCCGCTGCTTCTGACTTTAACCCCCAAACAGCCGGAAGGCACGAGACACACACACACACACACACACACACACACACACACACACACACACGCAGCCTCCGGCGGCGCGAGACGGCAGACAGATGAGGAACGACGTGAGGCGCGCGGACCGTAAACAAAGACAATGAATGAATGGATGAAAGTGGCGCGTGCGTCTCTGTGCCAACAACAAGAAACAAGAGAGAAGCTGCTGATCACAACAACAACAACAACAACAACAACAACAACAACAAGCAGTCTGTCCTCGTGCACAGTAAACCATAAATACTAACAAACAGCGCGCGGGCCGCACGTGCGGGTCTGTAATCACATGAACAGCCGACGATCGATTGACGTATCGATCTTCAGCCCGTTTGTTGACAAAACGCCTCAGAGAGAAACTTTAATGGACGTTTGGTTAAACTAATCAATAATCAATAATCTGATCAGTGATCGATGAGCTCAGAACTACAAACATGGACCCCGCGTGTAGTTTCAACAGAAGCAGCTGCTCCCTGATCGATGAGCCCACGTATCGATACGCCTCTTCTGTTTGTGATTGAGACGCATGCGCACCGCTGAGCACGTGCAGCGTCGCTCCCCTGAGAGAGAGAGAGAGAGAGAGAGAGAGAGAGAGCAGGAAGCAGCGGAGGAGGTTATTGATCAGCTCCATCTGCTTATCGATCACTGATCTCGCCCCGCCCCCCCTCCTGGACCGGCAGGCGCGTGCCCCCTTATCTGAGAATCTGTGGGACACGCGCACACCGAGGAGGGACCGATGAAGCTTTATTATTGGATTTTATTTGACTTTTAATGAGTTCATTCTTCACTTTGACTCCAGGTCACGTGTTTCCTGTTTGTGAACAACCTGATCAGAGAACTTTTTCTTTTATAAATAAATCTCTTTATTTAATCTCCTCTGTGTCAGACTGACGTCACCATCATGTCTATTCAGTTCATCACATCTGAACAGTGACGTCACTGAAACACGCGCTCTTCTCAACAGTTTGTGTAAAATCAGGATCACGTGATTCATTTAATGTTAAATATTTCATGTGATGTTTGTGATCATCTCAGTAAAACTCATCAACTCTTTAAACGGTTCTGAGTTCTGTTCATTTTGTTTCAGTACTTTTATTTTATTACTTTTCTACTTTTATTATTTTTAGGTTTTTTTTGTCTTCATCTGTGAGAATTCAAACTTTTTTTTCTCTGTTTTTGTGTTTTCTGATGTTTAACTTCACTGATTTGAGTCTCTTTGCAGAAATCTTTCAGGCAGACTCCACGTTGATCTGCTGTAGCTGCTGTTTGGGTCTTATTCTTAAATGTCTGTTGAACTTCCGGTCTTATTTTGTTCAGGCTTTCTGTCACATGACGGGACTTTATTGATCCACATCAACATTTATTTATATTCCACCATAAATCTGAACATCTCCAGATCAACATCTCCTCTGGCTGTAGCCTCCTCCATCCTCAGCCCTCCTCCTGTCTGTCTGTCTGTCCGTCTATCGATCAGCCCGCGTGTCTATCCACGGATCGATCGCCGCCGTTTGTCCCGCACGCGCCCAAATGGTCGCAAAAAGGAGGCGGCGGCACGAGCGCCTTTGTTGAGGTGCGACGACAGACGGCGCGTGCGGGGAGGAGGGTGATGATGAAGGTGATGAAGGTGTGAGACACCCACAGCCTCCACCGGAGCCTCGTGGGAAAGTCTGCGGAGGCGCGAGATCACAAACAGGCGCGAGGTGTCCGTTCTGACACCTGAGCGGACATGCGCAGTGGAGCGCACAGCAAACGGCCTGCTGAGGAGGAGGAGGAGGAGGAGGAGGAGGAGGAGGTCAACATGGCGGCGAATTAAACTAAAAGTTCTGTTTTAATTTATCATCAAAGCTCACCTGTCAATCAGAGCTGCCTTAGCCCCGCCCCCTCCCACCTGAGGCTGCAAGATGATTGGCTGAAAATCTGTTATTTATCATTAATAAAAACACATGGAACACTTTCAGTCCACAATAAACAACATTTAGCTTTAAATTGTGTTTCATAAACTGACTTTTATTCATTCATTTTTATTTTATTCACTTTTTTGTGTGTTTTTATCGACTTTGGGCGTCGAGACAAGCGTCATAGAAATATTATTATTATTATTATTATTATTTTAAACAAAATAATGAGACTTTTTTCTGATTTAAATCATCCCAAAAAATTCTAAAAATACTATTTATTGATGTGAACATGATTTAAAGTGTTGACCTGTTTTTTTAGTTGACATATAAATTAATATTTTTTCTGATT